TAAAAATATCTTTAATAGTCAATTGCTTATCTGAATTTATTATTCCAGTTCCAGCTAAGGAAATCTAAGCTACCAAGAAGCAGACAAACTTGCAATTAGAGTTTGTATCTGGCTGGATTGCAAAATCTGGATATCCGTATAAAAATACACCAACACTAATACTAATATCAATATTAATATTATACTAATTAATATTACAATCAAAACCCAATAAGCCAACAATTTTTCAGAGGGAAAAAATGGTTTGCTTTTTTCCAATAGATATTTGAGTAGAAAAAGATTCTTCTTTTGTAAACGTGTTAAAAGTGCGACGAGTCAATTATCGAATATAAATAAATAAATGTTTTTTTAAATCTTATTAAATAAAAAATTTACTTATACAGCACAAAAGTATTGTAAAGTTTCAGCCCATGACAATGTTATGAGCTATGCTAGTTTAATACAAGACCTTGCTCTTGATACTTTTACTGTGATTTTAGATTATGCTGAAAATAGTTTACCAGAACATTCAAGTACCAATGAATTAACATGGAAGAAAAAATTAAACTGTGATTACTGGTTCCACGAAACTGAGAGAAAAATATAGCTGTATACCAGTACTTGCTTTCTTGATGTCCTTATAATGAAAGAACTTACACGAATACCCTCCAGACCAATAGAACATCCATCAACATATAAAGAATAATGACAATTTTATGAATTTTCTTTATTAAAATTAGTCAATTAGATCACATTTTTCATAATTCAGTTATTTTTGTTTAAAATTTTAAAGATTCTCTTTTTTTTTTTCAAGATTAAAATAATTTATTATAAATATATATATATATATATATTTTAAGTATACCATTAACTTTTATTTTCCAATTGAAAATAATTTCTAATATCCTTATTCCTTTTTCTTAAATTATTATTAGATTCATTACTACAATTTTTTAAATGATGACTTCAATTTTGATTTTGATGTAGATGATGATGATCTTAATCCTGTGGTAGTGGCGGGTTTCATATTGAGCAATCTTGTAGTTTTCAAATTTGGAGTAGAAGATTCCCTTAACTTTGAAAATTTTTATAAATTAGATCTTGATAATATTAAAATATTTGATTTTTTACTACCATTTAACATTATTGTTAGTTGAATAATTAGTTCCTGGAAAACTATTCTTGATAAATGTTGAGCAGGACTAGGTTCTAATGGTTTAAGTACAATTGATTTATCTAATGGATCTCCAGGAACAATCTA